GATGTTCAGACGAATCGTTTTAAAAAAATTTGGCCTTGAGAAGATGAAATTTAAGAGAGATGTCAGCCAAATACTGGGAGGTCCGTTTATTCTGGGACACCCGATATTTTCCTTTATTAATAATTCTCCTGTTTCTGATAAAATATCGTTAAAAAGCTTCCTTTACGATTTAAATTATTGATAGTTTTGTCTTCTTGGTACACATTTCATATGAACTTCTTTGAAATCTAGAAATGAAATTTATGTTTTCATATAAAGATCGAATTATATGTATTAAATATTATTTAAGGTTATATGTTTACTATATACGACAAGTTCTTCAGACTGCCTGAAATTCTTTCTGTTGGTTGCCTATGTGGACATGAGTGTCGCAGTGAATTCACTGAAGGCTCACATCCGCACCCTCAAGAAGAGAAAATTTTGGTTGGAGCATAATAGAGAAGTTGATTGAGTTGCAAATTTCTTTCGCTTTTTACCAATATTGTTTTTTGTTCTTTTGTTTCGTAAAAGTTAAGTAATATGTGTTACGAAATTCTTTTTATGACCATTTAAATTACACGTAGCAGATAGATGTAAATATTTACTTCAGATAATATGCAATTATATAAAACTAACTATTCTCATTTACAGAGCCTAAGAAAAAAATTATTTGTTTTACTGTCGAAATTTTAACGTAATTTCACTTCACTTTGCTGAGTTTAACTGTAACCATGTACTGTCAAAGCTGTCGCTGTTCATGCATCTATAAAGCTCGATGTTTCTTTCTTGCAATTTTATCAATCATGGAATTTGTATTAGGTATATGGCGTATTTCAATATTTTTTTCATCGGCCTATACCACTGTAAATGGACAGTAAGTACTTATGCCTAGCAAACTGAAAGAAAATAAAGCAACAGTTGCTGCATTCATACTCGACTGGATAAGTTCAATTATACCAACATTTGTGGGTATATTTGTTGCATTCATCACAGCTCTTTTATTTTGGCGTTGTTTCTGCCGCGATGATAAAAAGAATCGCGTCCATTCTTCTGAAGACTTAACAACACGTGATATTTGTAAAATTGCATTCAACAAACCGGTACATTGTTTTATCTCTTTGGATTGTAATTATCCATGTTATATAGCGCGACCAAAACCACGTTTTCAAGTTTGTTTTACATTTCTGTGCATATCCAGTAAACTCCGTCTGATAGCAATTATCCTTTATTTTATCCCTAAGGATGTTGATAGCGACGGGATCCATATGGCTAAACTATGTGGTTTATCATTTATAGCGCTTTTCCTAACATTTCTTATTGATTTTTATCGTTACTGGGTCTGGCGGCATTATCATCCTTCCACAGATGAATATTGTCATTGTACGCTGTCAAAGAAGCATCAACGCTACATACCCTATCATTTAATGGGCATGCATCATACAATGCTATTCGGAGATGAACCATGTGCAGATGGTTACGTTTGTACAAATCGTAATCTTGAACACATAATGATCTTTCATCTTGACGAGCACAAGCCACAACAGCGTTACTCAGCTATAAGGAAATCTGAGAAACTCGAGGATACAATTTACATTGGTTTTCATCAAACATCGCCGGCGAATTCATCGTCTATTGCACACTCGGACTTTCGACCATCGTCAGAAGGTAAACTCGCACCTGGCATCTATTTTGCACGGTCAAAAGCTGGTACGGAATATAAAGCAAATCAACACGGTGCATATATTGCAGCTGAAGTGCACATGGGCAGAGTGAAGGAGGTCACAGATGAAAATTTAAACGATTTCAAAAATCCAAACTCATCGCCGTCTGATGCTGTATATTTGAATCACGAAAACGAAGATAAAGATGAGTTTTGTGTCAAAGATGCATCACAGATTAAAAAATGGGTTATTGTCGTTGATCAACAATATGACACACGTCCGAAAAAGTTGGGACTAATCAATGAATTTGATGATACACGGATGGGGTGTGACTACATTTACTGTTGACAAAAGTATCATTTTTTTCAATAAATTTATTAGGAAAGAAACATCAAGACTTGTAAGTTTCGTCACCATATAGTTATGTTCTCAGTTCACGTTTATGTTGTAGGAGAAATGTATTTCAGTACCGCTGGGAAATCTGGCTTTCAGCAACATTTTCCACAACACTCGACTCGAGAGGCGTGTGGATATCGGTGTGGATTTAGCAGATAGTCTACCCTCACGCACCCACACCCTCACTATTTTTATCAATACTTTTTTCCAGTACATTATTTTTCGAACATTCTTTCGGTAATAGATATGAGACACTTCGAACTAGTTACGATCTAAAAATTATCGATGAATGATGTAAAATGACTGAAAACCAGTGAAAATAAAATGAATCTTTTAACTTTTGATTCGAATTACTCCAGGGGACTCTATTCATAAAAATCATCTTGTAAGATAATTTAACATTATTAATACCGGCACCAGTAGTTCATTATATAAGATTAGATATAATGCAGAAAAGAAGGGGAACTAGTTCCTCCCAGATTTTATGAAGTAGTTCTAGATTAAAACGAATGCTGCTGTTTAAAATGGGTGATACAAAACCAAAATAAAAGTCATATTGATTATTGTGTTATCAGCTAAGAGACTTGAGCACACGCTTTTTGGCTTAGACATTTCTAGCTTCGTCACAGGATGATAACAAGCTACAAATACCAGATGATTTCGCAACAGCTTCTGCATCTTGATAGATATTAATGTTGAATCGAACGACATCTCTTCCAATGTAACATTAAAACAAAAAGTAAAAAGGCTGTCTTATCAATTTAGCATCGCTCAGAAAAAGTTTCCTATATATATCTATCAGAAAATTATAATTTAAAGAAAATATCGCGATAAATAATTTCTTAACGCGAACTATTTTTGCTGAGGTAAACCGTCAGAGTAATGAAAAAGAAAAGATCATTTTCCATCGTTACTTTTCGGATGTATTTTTTTCGTCAATTTCAACTATTTAACTCTGAAGATGAAACATTTATACGGAGAAAAAATGATTGCAACAAGAGAAAATAAACAAATAGCCATCAATTTAATTTGAAAATTTTATACTGTTTGCTGGTAGATACTTTCTGTTCCCGTGAACCATGCAATTAACATTTCTTACTAAGAAAATAGTAATAGTTTAGTTCTTTCTATTTCATACAAAAAATAAAAAGCATGCTCATTAATGTCCTTATTATTCAGAGACGATGATTTTATTGATCAAAGTCATTGCAAAAAATTCAATATCACTTCTGAAATTGTGGAAAATGTGTTCGTTTTCTATTGGCATGGGTTATTTTTGCTAATAAATCTAAAGATCTGGATATACTTACATCACGTGTTACAATTGTTGTAAAATTTGCCTTAGCATTGTAGACAATTGATATTGCATGTGATGCTATTTTTAACAACGAGAGTGTGGATGTGGATGTGAGTGTAGGTCTCGATGTTTGAGACAAAAAGATAACCCACAGCACCGCCCATATCGACTCGCACATGCACACCCACCCACACCCACACACACCACACCCAACAGGCCAAACGAAGCTCAACTCGCTGATCACAAGCTCGAAGAAAAAGAAGGATCTGATCGCGATGTCCGAAGACGCTGTGTTGGCTGTTACAAGAAAATCAGGCAACAATATCAATCAAGAGAAGCAAGTCATGCGGCTGCAAAGAAAATAAAAACTTTCTGTCCTGATTGTGAGAATTTTTTTTTCTTTTGATTGTTTTAATGAGAAGCATCGCACTATGCAATAAATGATTAAATAGAGTAGCAATGGCAGAACAGATGACACATTATGTGTAACCTCTGACTAAGAAAAAAACATGGAAAGAAAGTGTTTTTTCTATTGAATTTCTTGTTAAAATAAAGTGGGACCCATCGGTGGGTCTCATTGTGCTGAATGTGTTCAATGAATTTTTATCTCCACCTAAATGCTTGAAGAAGAGCTCAGTGCGAAACAACATCAAACTTAGGTGGCTGAAACTTCAGCTGCCTGAAACCTGATTGGTCGAAAGCCAAAAATCGAAAAACGCTGATTGGTTGAATTTGTTAGTGGGCAAATATCCTTTACGTTATATATTTAGATTTCATGAAATTTGACTTTTGACTCTTCATCTGCCGTAAACAAACAGATAGACAGACCAATTCATTTTATTTCATGTGATCCTCCCTTCAATCGAGGGAATAATTCGTGAATATATACGTATTTTCTTTTCTAAGTATCTTATTTTAATCATTCTGTGCATTTCTCCTTGTGTCATAGTTTGAAATAAAAATATGCTACATGTAAATGACAACGCACTGATAAAGAAAGATACAAAAATTAAAAGGTGTCAGAGATGCAAATATTCATCATTTCTCTGTAAAGAACAGTAAAGTGATAAAGCTAACAAAGTGATGCTGCGATATTTATTATGCCTATCCGTGTAAGTATCCAAGAATAGAGGAGACTTGTCATTTTGAAATCGAACAAATTCTATAAACACATTTTTCTGATTGATCGTGAAATATTCTTGGAAAGTAATTGCATATTCTATTTTTACTTTTAGGATAATTGTTGGAAATGAAGATAAGTGCATGAAAATATTTTAAAAATACGAATTAACGTATTTTTAATTTTTCTGTTGTTTTTCAGGCCAATCATTTTATAAAGATTCAAGCGAATGTAAGTACAAGTTCATTTAATATAAGTTATGATTCTGTCGCGAAATTTTTTAGTTTTCTGAGAATATCTCGTAACATTATAGATGTTCAAGTTCTAGAACAAGTTCAAGATCGAAATTTGAATAAGAGAATATTATCGGGTGTCCCAGGAATAATGAGCCTCCCAATATTTTTAAGATTTCCTGTCTATTATCACTGTAAGTAAAGCTCTCATTATTATCAAAAGATAGCGCTTAAAATTCTCTACAAAACCATAGATGACTAGGCTCAAAAATAGTTTTAGGTATATTTGAAAAAAGACGAAAACTAAAGATATACAAAAAGCTGTAAAATGTAAATAACGAATGTTCCATAATAAATGGTTGCGCTTTGTATTTCATATTTTAATNATGTTTCAATGTAATCAGATAATATTACATGCGGTAAAGAGTATATAGGCAACGCTAAAGTTTGACCACATGCATCTAATGTACGAAAAGATGATTGATCAATTATCCCAGTATTGTAAGAAGGCTGTTCAAATACTTGTGTTTTAGTGATCCATTTCTCTGGAAGATAGTCGTGAAAGAATGCATCAAATGCCCACGGAAGAGTATACCACATATGATGATGATATCAACGTTCACGACTCTATAAATATAAAGAACATAACTTTTCTATTATCTTCATATTTCATTTAAAAAAGAAGAAAATATGGACGAAAATATAAGTGAATTATAACTTACAAAAGGCTCACTATTAGTGAGCCATTTGGATCTATTAGACCAGTGTTTAACAACGAAAGTTACACCAATTATTTCTAGTGGATGAAAACGGCTACTACGTTGTATATATTCTATCATTTCAATGTATTGTGGACAATTGATAAGATTAAAAGCGAAATGAACATCAACATGACGATGACCAGTAAAAAGTGGTGAGAGAACCAATATGATTTAAATCATTCATATCAATAAAAACAGACATATTAAGACGTCGAAGAACAGGCATAACATTCGAAGATGTCAGCATTTCGAAAATTCTCCATTTAGTTGTTAACTCCGAGAAAAGTGTTTGAACAAAAGTAAATTTATGCAAATCATTTGAATCGATAGATTAAATGTCGATATAGCAGAATTCGCGTTACCTACATGAACATGTAATTGACGTAATGTATCGTAGAGTGGTAGTGTCGATATAAGACGAATCAATGTATCCATACGCGGTAAATCAATACGTAAATAAGTAAGCGGAACTACTGCAGTAGTAATAGGCCAACATGTTCCATAATTATTCATGCCCAAATCAAGTGATTGAAGTGTAGGCAAACGGATAAAAAGAATATTTTTTATTAACGTCGCAATATACGCTATTGTATATTCGGAATTAATCGTAAAACCATCCTGAAAACAGTATACAAATATCAATGAATTATGAATGAAGAACAATATTAACTAATGTTTTAATCGTCAGATTTGAAGCAGTAGTGCTTCGATTTAAAAAGAGATCGATAAAGTGAAGGTTCTACTCAACTAAAATCTTTATTAGCAATTAATATTAGATCTTTTCAAAGTTCACTAATTCATAGATGGAAATCTTCAGACTCTTAAAACAATTCTCATTCTATGATATGTAGGTGTTGAACGAAACCTATTTTATTTAATATTTTATCTCATGAAAATTTTCAATTTTATTAGTTTTGAAAGCACAAATGTTTACAATAGTTATTCAAATAAAATACTTTTCGATATATTCTTTTTCTAGTGAGAACTCATTCAACGTAATTTGCAATTCTTTCTTCAATAATCTCAATTCTTTATATAGTTCTAAACGTAGTAGAACAAACTCTTCTATACTTAACGGAATTAGTCTTTGATTTGATTTGATGATAAGATGAGCAAGTGTAGCTGCATGACGTAAAAGAAATATAGAAAGATCATCATGATCGTAGACACCAACGATGCGCAGAGTTCTCAAACAAGACAAATAAGGCCAATGAGTTAATTGAAGTGGAGATGCATCACTATCGATTGCATGTGATTCAATATTATTCAATCGAAGAAAGAGGTGGGTGTGAGGTGTGGGTGTGGGTGTGTGGGTGTGGGTGGGTGTGGGTGTGTGAGTGGGTGTGGGTGTGGGTGTGGTCATTTCCTTAGACAAAGCACAACGACACCCCACACACACCCACACCCACACGCTATGTTTTTTTTCTAAAGATCGACATATTATTATTTACTCTAAAAACAAAAAACTGAGGAATAAAAATGGATCAGTTATCATTCGTGTCTGAGCTTTTCATGAAGGTTCTATCAAACGACAAAAAGCA